AACTTCCAAAATTCGCCTGGTTTGTCGAATCAATATTAAATCATGACGGAGTTCTGATTGCCAATCATATCCACTAAAAAATGGATTAGCCAATAGCGTCGATTCGCGATTCGATTAGGAGGCGAGATGATTGATTCAGATTCGATGGGGTCTGGAAATTCGTATCGAAACCTCAATTCTTGAAGATTTACTGTATAAAGCAATGCAATTTACTTCCTTGAGTTTAAGGTTATAATAATTTGAAAAACCTTTTTGAAAAATAATGGTTTTTCTAAACCAAACGTGACATCCCTGATACTTACCGGTAATGTTATACTAGTACTATTAATAGTATTGTGCTTTGCACCTTTTTTGGCAATTCCAGGGTTAAATTCATTGTTTAAAAATTTCTCAGGCTTAAATAATGTCTAAAGTAACTTGAATAACGGTTGGGTGCGTTGTTTAAAGTTACTTCATCTAATGCGATGATTGGTTGGTTGAAGGTGGTTTTACTGGCACTTTCGTAAAACAAGTTGTTTGCCGTTTTCATTCTGGCAAACAACTTGCTTTACGTCAACATGTCAAGGTGCTTGACGCAATGAAACTGAAGGAGCTATGGCCACATACATGACCTCCCATCCGTGATCACTACAGTACTAACATTATCTACTCCGAGTAATGTATATAACGTTAGGGATATAGTTAGGCTACAGTACATGTAGTCGTCGCTCTGTCCAATGATTCAAAGCTATGCCATACCTTCAACTCTTGATCTGCTCTAACCTTAGCACTGTACGTGGAAGGCAATGGCGCACTACGACTACATGATGTATAGTACTCCCATTTCACATCCTAATACGGTATGCATCGTGATGAACTGGTGGTTGTACGGCGTAAGTTGGCCTGGTGCTGCAACTCGATTAGTTAGCAGTTGAAATAAAGTAAGCGTTGTTTTATTCTGCTGAAATGCAGAACTTGTGTTTAGCGTTGTTTTATATTCAATCGGGCTTATATTATTTTAAACGTCTGGTTGTTTAACGCAGTTAAACAACGGGCAAACTACATGAAAAGCACAATAGTATAAACTTTCCCCAAGTTTGGGGTAGACAGGAGTTGGCCCTCCTAGAAATTGCGTATAATTCATGGTGGTGATGAATGCTTGCGAAATGCCACAGCCAGTCGTGCCGAGTGAGTCCCTTGGCTACTGCATATAAAGCCAAAGGACGGTAGAAATGGTCCCCATTCAAGTACTCCGGATAAGTTAGTCTATCGTTGTTGACCCCCAATCCATAAAGTTACGGCAAACAAATCTACGAAAACAACAAAGCCCCGACACCCCAAACAGCCAACTTCACGCTCCACATCCATCTGTCAGCCCCTTTTCCAGCTTGACGTCATTGCCACCATCAACTCGAGCGGAGTTTCAGTCGGAACTAACCATCGTGTGAGTCGGGTAACTTTTGTATCGACACTCGTTGGCTTTATGTGCAATAAGATGGCGGACGGATAAGCTTATCGTGAGTTTTGGATCCGACCACACCGGAGTATTTATTTTGGCCATTTCGCTGGGTATACATTCAGATCGGCGGCTGCAACGGGCCAGGCTTGGCTAGTTCCCTAACATAAGTTACAATTCTGGGAAATGCCTTAAATAAGACTTTCCAAACATGCATCCTGTACTGTAGCCCTGAAACCCGGGACTGCATCCTACCCTCGGCCGGAGCATATATCGGCACATACTACAATGCTATTGACGGAGTTGCGTGCATAAGTTATCAGTGTTTAGCTATCCTAACTATTACTAGTACTAACATACCTTGCTGGGTTCACTATACTCATTTGTGCAAATTTCATTACGTTTTGATTGGCTATTCCATCTTCATGACTAGTATAGTTTGGGAATTAGTCACAGTTGGCATAAACATGTCCAAACCACTGAATCTGCAACCAGTATAAATTAATCAAGGGGAACCCCTTGAGACGACTGGATTACTGCTCCAAATCGAATCTTGTCTTTGTGTGGAGATTCGCCGTCTTGTAAATCACGACAAGATCTCGTGTTCGTATTCTCCATCATGCCACCAACAACTCGAGGCTCCACAACCATGTCGTACACAGAACTGACCGTCCGATTCGCGAGCCTCCGCCGCCGCCGCGCGGAGATCCAGGCCAAGGCAGCCAGCGTCATGCAATTGCACGTGGACGAGACGACCAACGACCGAAAAGGTGGACTCAAACGACAAGCGGCACCTGCTGAGCATACAATGAAGCTGCCCAGGTTTGCGCACTTTTCACGCATTTCCACTACCAACAGCATCGAGCTACCGGCCGCGTTGGCTATCTAGCTTCCTTAACTATTTAACGTGCATAACAACAATACATGACCAACTAGGATTACCAAGCCCCGAGTATTGCCTCGATGTGCTTTCGTATACCAGCCTGCGCATACAGAATAGGGCAACTATTGGGCCTGTACTCCTCGAGACTGCAATTGGTAGTTGCTATTACTATATACTCGAGTACATTACGTATGGTACTACCGGTAGTAGTAGGCACAGTCATCGCTGCTTGTTCATTATAAGAGATGGGAAGTAGCAAATGCTGCTGTACCCAGTGCATCTGGCAGATTCATTTCTAGCACGAATGTGTGAGTCTTCACTGCGCTACATATCCCCACGGAGATTCAATTTATATACGTTTGGCTTGGAATTGCCATCGCAGTACAGTTGTACACATATATTGTTCCAGTTACTGTACCGAACATATTCCAGTGTGGTATAACCATACAATGCAACCACTTTACCACTTGCACTGTTGGGGATACGTACATCCCATGACTGGCGCAACATCAGTAGCATCGCACGTGCTGCATTCGGGTATGCGGCCCCAAGACATGGTGCACACGTTTCACATGCTTCGGCAGCGCCGATTGGCTTTGCAAGCCAAGCGACAACAGGTCATGGCACTGCACGACTTGCCGCTGTACGCTGGGCCAGCTTCAAAGGACCGCGCGGGGAATATCTTGGGGAAGCGAAAGGAGAGATGCTACGAGGCGGACGTGCAGAAAGCAGCCAAGACGACCTCGAGCTGTAATTTTATCAATTAAATTGTCCTTGAAGGATGTGTTCAAAGCTGATGAAATTGATGGCCTTCATGCTAGAGTTGAAACCGCTGCTTATTGGCTGACATTGAAAAATGGTGAAACTGTGCAGCCAATCAACGACAAGGCAATTTAGACGGACCAATGGGATCGTATGAACAGATCATTGAGATTTGAGGAAGATATGGAGGTACAGTATATTGCAGATGACTGGGGGGGAAGCCATGCAATTCCTGGACGTTTTTGCGAAGATGCCTACTTCATGACGAAGACAGACAAGATACGACGAATGCAGTGACGAGATTCGTTTAACTTAACGAGGCAATTTATGGACACCTTTTTTGTCGAAGATAGCTCGAAAATCTGTTGCAAATGTTGCAAATTTTATCTATTTTTTGATCATTAACCAGAAAAAGCAAGGTGAAATAGGCAATTTTGTATGCTGCGCAAGGTGAACCACCTTGCGAATTCCATAAATAATTCTGAAATTGTACAGATTCAATTAAATATATCTTCAAGTTTGTATTGATGATTTTTATTTTTCATGTGTCTGTCTCTTTTTGGAATTCGCAAGGTGACCTGCCTTGCGAATTCAAAATTGTCCAATTTGTCCAATCAGATGCCGTGAAATCACGAAAATCGCTGCGTAGATTCATCACACCCTGTTGCGATATATTCTACTCCTGTGATGGCGGTTGATGCAAGGAACATTGAGATAATTTTGTAGGCTGTGTATGGTGCACGTCATCTATAAACTACCAACTTTTCACAAAATTTTCTGACTTCT